ACAATACTTGCCAACAAAAGCAACCATTGTAGCCCCAGGGAAGGGGGTTGGGGTAGAGAAACAGGGTGAGGTTTTGCTCTTTGCTTGCCAAAACTGGCTCCAGGGAAGGCCCCAGTCTGCTGCTCATGAGTCAGCCTGCTGGGGTCCCAGCTGTGATCTGTTCCTCTTGATCTATCAAGTTTAAGGTAGGAAGAATGGGGTGGAGTCTGGGGAGGGGGCTCAGGCCTGAGTTTGCTAGGCAAACTTCTCTGGGATGGCCCTGTGGCAGGGAGAAAATTAGCAATCACATACCATGACTTTTCCCTCCTGTCCCTACGGGGCCTCCACTCTGCAGCTGGGAAAACTGAGACCCTGAGAAGGGAGACCATTTCATCTTGAGCTCATTGCGTGGGTTCATGGAGGGCCAGAATGGAGGTATTTCCACAGCCTCTCCTCCACGTTCCCACTGACACACACATACCCCTCACATTTTTGCTCCATCAGCCATCACACACAAAACCACAGGCTGGCTTTTGACTTCACAGATCTTAAAGGAACAGAAAGAGGAAAAGAGGAACTCTACTCTTCCTGAACTTCATATAGATTAGTTTGGTGGTGCCATTTCCAAATACATTTGGCTTTCTGTATCTGCAAGTTTCACATTTGAGGATTCAACCAACTGCGGATCAAAAATATCTGGGAAAAGGGGCCGGCCAAGTGGCGCATTGGTTAAGAACTGGCTTGGGACGCCAGAGAGCCCCGGTTCGGATCCCACATATGAGGGCCAGTGATGCTGCCCTCTACAGCTAAGATGCTGAACAACAGCTCAACCTGGAGCTGGGCTGCAGTGAGTCACTGGCGACAGCATAGGCTGCAGCCCCTGCTGCAGTGGGTTGCCATGGGCTACTGTGTGTAGCCAGCAGCCAGCGTGAGCAGCCAGCAGCCAGCGTGAGTGGCCAGCAGCTGCAGTGAGCGGCCGTCCAGAAGCCGGCGACTGATCTGCTTCACTGGGGAAGAGTGTAATGATCGTGCCAACTTGGGCCAGTGAAGCAATGTCCTCCACAACTAGACTGAAGAACAAAAAGACAGCAACTTGTCTGCTCCCCGTCCCCCAATTCCCCAGTGCTGTTCCCATTCCCCAATTCCCCAATAAAAATCTTAAAAAAAAAAATCTGGGGAAAAAAAATCCCAGAAAGTTCCAAAAAGCAAAACCTGAATTTGCCACATACGAAACACGATGCTAAATGTGAATGAAGTGATGTGTAGGCATACCTGCTGTAGCATATATGCATATAGCCTATAGGTTCTATGCAAATGCTATGCCATTTTATAGAAGGTACCTGAGCATCCACAATTTGGGTGTCTGTGAGGGTCCTGGAGCCATCCCCTGAGGCTACACAGGGAGATGGTAACTGGATGCTCTGATGTTGCTTGGAATAGAATACACTTTGCATTTCAACAGGACTCTAGAGTTTACATCTGTGACTCCTGTGATCCTCACGATTTCCCCTCTGACAGATGAGGTACTGCAGCCCAAAGAGGGAAACGATTTGCCCTTGGTCACATGGCCAGTACTTGGCAAAGTCCAGCTAGAACAGTCGCCTGACTCCTTGTCTGTCTCATACTCAGTACTAGACTATGGGCTCTGATCCCAGCTCTGCTGTGAATGAGTGGTTTGCCCTGGGCCACATTACTTCAGCTCTCTGAACCTGCTTCATAAATGCACTGGCCCTCCGAAACCTCCATGTCTTTTCATTCATTCCACAAGCATTGCTCTCAGGAGGCCTGGAGCCGGGGTCATAAGGATGAAGGCTCCAGCTCTTTGCCCACAGGCAGGAGCACATTTGAAGCCCAGCCAGGGGTGTGGACTGAAATACCTCTTATGGGGAGAAGAGGGAAGGAACCCAAGTCTTCTCTCAGGGGATCCAGGGATTCCCAAGAGAAGTCTGATCAGAGAATTTCCATCCACAAGTTGGCGTCCCTTTAAGAAAGCCTTACAACACCACGTCTGAACTCAAAAGCAGAAAGATTAGGGCTCTTTATACACTTTACACAAAGATTCTTTATTCCACAATTAAAAAAAAATCGTTCTCCAGTTCCCACCTCTGGATTGCTTGAAATATAGTTCATTTGCAAATCATTAGGAACACATTTATAGAGTAAAGCAGCGGAGCAGAGCAGGAGTTGGGCTGCTTGCCTGACTACTGAACTTGTCTTGGCAACATTGCCAAACCAGCATCCACTCTCATCTCTCAGACTCTTGGTTTTTCCCACCTTGGGCTCTGTGGCAAGTGCTATTGGTGCCAGGGGTGGAAATAGAGGACAGTTATCATTTACTGAACACCTACTATGTGCTATAATTAACACCCATTTCACATTTGAGGAAATGAGGCTCAGAGCTAAGGTTTCAATCAGGGCTGTCTGACTGTAAAGCCGGCGCTCTCTCCTCACCTTGATCAGCCCTGCTCTTTGGTTGGGACACAGGCCAGTCACTGCACTTGGGGCCCAGGGAGCTGTAGTCTGCAAAATGGGCAGATCCAAGGAGGCCGAAGGTTAGTGGGAGCATCAAGATTATTAAATGAGAGAAAGGGGACACTCTGTGTGTGTGTGTAGGGGAGGGGGTGCTCACTGTCTCCCCACTCAAATGCAGTCACATCCCTCTGCCCAGTAGCTGTGGAGAGGCGCCCTGAGGTCAAGCAAGGAGAACCAAGGAGCCAAGGAAAGCGGCTACGAGCTGTCACTCTCGGGGAGCCCAGGCGACTGGGGGGCCCTCGGAGCCCCAGCTGTGGCTCCGCGTGGCACTTCCGATCCCGCCCGGCAGCACGCCGCTGCACTCCCCAGCTCCGCGCCCCGCCCCCGAGCACGCTGCGCCCCCAGCTCCCACC